TGTTGGATGGATGGATTATTATATGAACTAACTAGCTGTAGACCGCGACTCCGTCCGTGGTATTATAAAAAAATATGTTCTACATCTATGCAAAATATCAGTTACATCCATATACCGTTATGGAGATACCTTCCAACAAACCTCCATCCATCCATCTAAACATTCACATTTATAATATTAGTAAGAAAGAAACAATCATTTTGATGAAAAAAAAAATTACTGTTTATCCTTCCAAACGACACAATTACTAATATTATAAATGCTAATTTTATGACGTATGAATGGATGGATGTTTTTTAGAAGGCATCTCTAGAACAGCTGCATGGATATCGTTGAAATTCGGTATACATATAGAAGAACATCATAACCTAGAACACATAGACAACACAAAGTTTTTTTTATATTCCGAGCTGACGGAGTCGCGGGCGAAATCTAGTTTTTTACATATTTTAAAAAGACTCCTTTCTTTTCATCTTTACAGACGTCCTAGCAATTACCTTTAGTATGCTGTAACATGTCCTGGATATAAAAAAACGTTTTAAGTACTAAGTTAAATGTCGACCTAGAAACGTGTGCGTATACAAAGACTTTCAAGAAATATGTATCTTATATTTACGACGTTTATTTAAATAGAATAGACATAAATAGCATTCATTCTTGTGTTTTGACGATTCGAGAAAATTTATAAAATCTTTTTTTTTATACAAAGCTACCTGTAGTCTGCGACTTCGTCCGTGTTGGTTTAAAGCACAGATAGCCGATTCTCACAACTAAAAATCCCAATGGTCCGATTGATCGGTAGGCCGAAACACCCAATTAGATCTTTTAGACTTTTCTATCTTTTCTGTTTATAATTTTTTTTTTGTCTTATATATAATCTGAAAATATATGTATATTAACATCTGTTAATAAGTGTGAATACTTATTTACTTTCCCGTATATAACGCTTAACAATACTATGTTTAACGGTCAATATTCCCAGTATGAAAGGTACCTTATGTTAATAAGATTAGATCTGTTAATGCCCCACTTACTGCTGTTACATAAGTCGCATAACAATGCCATAAGGGCAAGTACACACGATGAAATAGTCGTACGCGTATTCAAGCTGGTATAAAGTCTACGGCCTGCCTTAATAATTTACAATCCTCAGAGCTCCAGTTTAGCTTTTAATATAGCTAAAAATCTAGTAATAAATACAGTCTAAGTTACTCACTGATAATGTAGCTTACTAATGGCATATGCTTTTTTTTATATCATAAGATGGCAAACGAGCGAGCGGCCACCTGAAATCGCTGAAATAGCGAGAAGTGACCTTTCCCCATAGACATACGCAATTGCATATGCGTTGCCTACCTTTAATCGACGGAGGAGATGATGTACAGAAAGAAAATGTTTTCCCCTTCCATGCATCCTCTCATCCGGAAAGTCCACTTTCACTTGCCATCCTTTCCTTATAAGAAAAAGGATGGAAAGGGAAAGAGGACTAAATTAGGCCTCCGGGATGCACTCTCATCAGACGAAACGGGAAATTGCTTCCACTTCACGCCTGTCTTCTGTGTGGTCGTGGTATTTCACCGGGCGAGCCAGGCCAATTCGTGCGAAGATGTTAAAGCGGGCTCTACCACTGTTAATTTTTAAATCGGTCTAGTAGTTTTTTCGTTACATACAAAAATACAAATCATTCCTCTTTATAATATTAGTATAAATCAAATTTTCGTTCAGAAACTTTTAGACAAGAATTATGGAATCCTTTTTTGAATTGGATTTTCATGATGAATAACACAATTCGAAACGATTTTTATTAAAAAAAGATAAAAATTAAGTAATTTGTTATTTAACTTCTGGCATTATGAAAAAAAAACTAACTATCAACCGCGACTGCGTTCGCGAGAAATAACAAAAAAAACTATATTCCATCATAATCCATACAGCCGTTCTGGAGATACCGAACAAACATACATCCATATAAACATTCGCATTTATAATATTACTAAGATACAAGCCAGTCGCACACTGTCATCAGTGTGTACCAATCCTAAGTCCTATGCACGGATGTAACAGTTTATGGTCATAGTTATGATTACATTTACCTCGTGTTTGAGAAATAATGTTCTTGTAAGAGGAAATTCTTTATTCCTGACTGTACAGTTAGTTCTCGCTTCTCGTCTTATATGAGATGAATCATTGATAATAAGCTTAACACGTAACTGTCACACGCGACTCCGTCCGCGAAGAAATAAAAAGATAAGTAACCTATGTGTTCTTGCAGACTATGTTCTATATCTATGCCAAATTACATCAAAATCTGTTGAACCGTGTCGTACTATAAACAAACATCCCTTTATGTAAAATTTCGCATCTATAATATTTGTTAAGGTGTTATTTTCTTTCAAGCATATCAACCTATGCCAAGAAAACAGTTACATCTGTACCGTATCAGTCGTTTTTACCTTTTATAAAGTTAAATCGTCAATCGATCGATCGTGATAATCGATAACAGCACTAACTATCCTCGTAAGTAAACGTAAAAACAGACACATCACTAGTTAATAGTTTTGGAACCATGTTAAGTGCCTTTAAGGTTGTGTTGCGTTTGATACGCAGCGGGAACACAAGGTGTTCAACGACGCCCATGGACATCAGCAATACCAGAAGAACCGCAGATGCGTTGCCGGCCTTTGAGATAGTGATAAGCTCGCTTCTTGAAGGGCCCTAAGTCGTAGCGTAGTCTTAACCTAATGAAACTAGCTCTTAGACTATAAACGTAACAGAAACAACACTTAATTTCAACACAGTATACTATCTGTTTACATTGTATAAAATGTAGAGTAACAATAGTACGTACTTTTAGAAGAATTTCGGCAATGGAATACTACATTAATTAATTAACGTATTTTCTATTTCTTTTTTACATCAATCTGTGTAAAAAGTTCGCATCGAAAGCACTGGATAAGTTCTTCAAGAGCTTTATAACATTTTAATAGTTCAAAGTTATTCCAATTATTGAAGGATTTATTGGACCTTTCATAATTGAACTGGGGTAAACGATTCACGGTTTCCATAACCTAAATGGGGCACTTAACCCTTAAATCATAAAGAGGTGAACCTGAAGCTAATGTATAGGAAAGGGAAATTACTTTTTTCTGTATATCCACTCCTCTGTCGGTTACAGATAGATGAATTTTATATTTGAACACTCGCTGTCACCAAATTTCATCGAAATCCGTTCAGCCGTTCTGGAGATACCTTCAAAGAAATATCCATCCATCTAAACATTCGCATTTATAATATTAGTAACATTTTAAGAAGTAAGATTTGCGCTATATAACAATTTTTAGTGATCTTATGAGTTATGCTTTGGTTGCTATCTTGTACTGTTAAAAAAAATCGTTGGAATTACAATAAATGCTTTGAATATTAACTATTTAAAGAATGTAAACAATTCGAAACACTATAACTTAGGTTATCTCAGCCAATGAAAAAATATTGTCCTATATTTTCTCAAGCTTAGCAGTTTAAATACTGAAAAGCGTTAGTTATGGTTATAAGTCAGTGTTGCCTTACTTATAACCATAACTAACGCTTAATAATAATAATAATAAAAAAACAACAAAACAATGGTGAAAGGTACTCATTTATTAACGAGTTATATTTTGTCATTAGAAGTTTGGGCAAATAGTCACAAATCCTAAAAAAGACTTACTAACCCCTGCGTACACAAGGCAAGGCAAATCTTCAAAACCCAGTCAACTTGTATGTCAAGATAGTCGTAAGAAAAGTTTTCAAGATGGCGGAGCGCAAATCTATACAGTTGACATGTACCAAATAGACGACTCGCGTCGACGATTCAACGGCGCAACGTGATACTCGCGACGCAATACGCTTTATCAGTTTCGACGATTTAAGTTGCCTTGTTTACACAGGGCCAAAAAAAGAATAATAAAAAGTTGTCAATTAAATACACTATTGCAACGTTAAAAACAGACAAAATGTTTTTAAGGGATATATTTTTCGTTTACAAAAGTTACCCTTACCCAAAATTGTATTTATTATATTTGGAATTCGTTAAATACTATGTTGCCATCTATTTAATTGGCAATCATAATGTTGCAACTGGCTGCATAGATCGACGACATTGAGATTTTAATAACGGCTTTAAATGTCAAAAGAGGTTTGATTGGCCAATAACTAACGACGCCATATTGATTTTGTAACATTGTGGTAATATTTTGGTAAGCGAAGTGTCTATGATTTTAGTCTAACTAGTTATTCGATCCGGTTAGAAAATATGTACCCATCCATGAGGTATTAAACCTTTCTCATAGAACACTACGTTTATCAATGAAAACAGTATGAAAATCCGTTTAGTAGTTTTTTGAGTTTATCGTATTCAAGGTGTCATAGGCATTATTTGCACTGGCGAAAGATAGACAAAAAAGACGATATATTCTTATTTGATTATTCTGGTAGTGGAAGCGTAGCCTAGTCTATCTTTTGGTCAATAGCGATGTCAAATGACATTGGTTTACCCCTTTCGCCCCCGAATTAATTTTAAAATAGCACAAACCGACAAAACTAATTAAACACTGTGTGGTACAATTGGTGACAATTAATGTTACATTTGCATATCCGCAGAAATTCCATGGACGTTTTATTTAAAAAGTTGGCAAAATGTTAACCTGATGTCTGATTCTTTTAATACATGTCTATATTGGAGTGGCTATGAGACGTAAGATTTTGTGCCTACTTGATTCTCGCCATTTTGGCGCGTGTGAGTCACCAGGTGCGTTTAAATCGGCACGTAGAAAAAACTGTTATTTCCAAACAATCGCCTATCCTTTTATAGAGATTAGTGTTACTTTTATACTACCCATAGAATGTACTGGGTGGCGCAAAAGTAAAGACCCTATTTGGTTCAGCTATAACATTTTTTCTAAATTAGAAAACTAGATTTAGGTTTTTTTAAATGTATATTTGTGCCATTAAATTTCGTACCATTAGGATTTAAAGATGATGTCTTTTAAATGGTGACCTCCAGAGTTGATACACATTTGAGCCCTATTTATGACATTTTGCATAACTTGCCGTAACACTTCCTGCGATATGTTCGTTATTTCTTGACGAATGTTTTCTTTTAGAGCTGCGAGAGTCTGTGGCTTGTTCACATACACCCGAGATTTCAAAAAACCCCAAAGAAAGAAGTCTGGACTGGTCAGATCGGGTGATCTTGCAGGCCAAGGCAAATCGCCAAAACGAGAGATAACTCGGCTTGGAAAAGCGTCCCTCACTAAGTCCATAGTGTCGCGCGCTGTGTGTGCCGTAGCGCCGTCTTGTTGAAACCAGATGTGCTCCAGCCCCAATTCGTCCAAACTGGGTATCAAAAACTCACGTAACATGGTTCTGTAGCGTTCTCCAGTGACAGTTATCGCATTGCCTCCAGCGTCTTCGAAAAAATAGGGTCCGATCACTCTGTCAACACAGATGCCACACCATACAGTAACTTTTAGTGGGTGTAGAGGTGTTTCTTGAATAATGCGCGGATTATCAGTGCCCCAGAACCGAGTATTCTGCTTATTGACATGCCCTGAGAGATGGAAATGCGCTTCGTCACTCATAACCAATTTTGAAGGAAAATCATCCTCTTCAAGGTTGAGGTTTATGACGCGCTGGCAGTAATCTAGACGAGCTCGGTGGTCAGCAGGCAGCAGTTGATGAGTCATTTGAGTTTTATACGGGAACATCTTTAAGTCTTTCACCAAAATACGCTGCAGGGTCCGTCTGGAAATGCCCAATTCCGTGGCACGTCGCCTCGTTGATGTTTCTGGACACTCTTCCACATCTTCGCGCACAGCATCGATATTTTCAGCTGAACGGCCTGTTCTTGGTCTCCCAGACTTAGGTCTATCCAATGTTGAGCCAGTTGCTTCAAGGCGTGTGGCAAAGCGTCGAATTGTGCGACCAATCGGTGCCGGACGGTGGGGAAATCGTCGACGAAATTCACGTTGTGTTCTTATCATTGATGAATTATTCCGTAAGAACATTGACACAATTATTCCACGTTCTTGGGGAGTAAAACGGTCCATGTTTATTTTCAGTGTATTTTACATTTGTTCACTACACAATTTTCAACAACAGAATGACAGAAAATGTCATATAAAAAAAAAAAAAGTATTTTCTTTAGTGCCAGTACTTTTGCGCCACCCAGTATTTGAAGCAGACGAATCTATGTTTTTTTACATTATTCATTCAGAACAGCTATCTCAGTATCTACATGTCATTGGTAACAGATTCAAGGTGATTGAATATTAATAAATTGATTATTCAAATGTCATGTTCAAAGATTATTCAGATTTTGTTAGCAAACCTTATTTGGATTTGATTTAAAATGTATGAAAGATGAGAATATATAAATAAAAAATTGTGATCTAAATCTAATTATATAGAAGGCGCTGTTGCCCCGACACCATTTGTATGGATTAAAAAAAAACTTTATAAGTAGCCTATGTGTTCTTCCAGACTATGTTCTACATCTATGCCAAATTTCATCAAGTTCCGTTCAGCCGTTCTGAAGATGCAGTCTAATAAATATCCAACCATCTAAACATTCACATTTATAATATTAGTAAGAGATTTTCTTTAAAATCTTTGTTAGTTGTTTTTTTTTTAATTGCATATTGATAAGCAATATTTGTAGGTTACAAAATTGCCCCAGAAGGTGTAAAATTTTTAAGTTTTTAAAAAATGCCCTTTATTTTATTTTAATACCCAGAGGGGAATTTTTATTTTATTTTTCTGGTTACCCTTGTGACCACCCCTATCATACCCCTTCCTATGTATGTAACCTTTTGGGACACCCTGTATACTAATAGTAGTATCATTGCAATAAAAACACCCTTTTATTTAATGTACAGATTAAAAAATGTGAAAGGAGTCTTAGTTACAATACAATAATTGATTTAAAGTTTAAAGGCCATCCGAATAAAAAATATGTATGTAAAAGTATTAAGTAATTTAATTTATAATCTATTTCTTTCGTACCATTGTTATGTTCATGGTCATATTGTGTTTTTTTTATCATTGTCAAATTAGTAAACAACTTTGTAGCAAAGAGGTCTTGTATGGCTCTAAACTAGAATTAGTCCAAAAGAAACAGTGTTATGTCTAAAAACCTTGTATTTAATTTAAATGTCTTGAATTAAAATTTTATTAACCCTCATCTTACTAATATTGTAAATGCTAATGTTTAGATGGATGGGTGGATGTTTGTTTAAAGGTATCTACATAAAGGCTGTATGGATATAGCTGAAATTTGGAATAGATGTAGAATACCGTCCGGAAGAACACATAGGCAACTAATTAAGTTTTTTTTTAGATGTCTAGTACATGATAAGTAAAATCTATATAACATATGAAAGTAAGTATCAAGTGACTCATACATAATAACTTAACTGCAATACTCAGAGATTTAATATGAGAAATGTAGAATCTAAGGGAATCTTAAAGTGGCTGTAAACAAATTATAAACAGAAGGAAAAAATATGTTGTATCCATCGCCCTTGAATACATCCGCTTGGTATTTAAAAAAAACATAATTAGTAGCCTATGTGTTCTCCCAGATTATGTTCTATATGTATGTAAAATTTCATCAAGATCCATTCAGTAATTCTAGAGATACCTTCAAGCAAACATCCATCCATCTAAACATTTGCATTTATAATATTTGAAAGATAGCAATTGAGTCAATCTTATGTGGTTTTCTATATGTATGAGGTCATATTACAATGAATAATTTTAAACAATGATAATTATAAACTGTTATTAGTAAATATTTCTAATAAATTATTCATCAACTTATTGAAGTCAATAAATTTAGTAATAATGGAAAATTTTGTACAAAAACATATTTAGTAAAAACATTCAATTCCAAACGAAAATTAAAAAAAAAGCAATATGCAAAAGTTATCAAATTAAAGCCAGCAACATAGTGTATAAAAAAACATGATAGCTTATCAATGATGGGTAATAGATATGCAAACTGGAAATGGATGACTAATAAAATAAACATAATTTCGCAGTTTTAAATTTAGCATGGGTGGGGTGGTATTAGTCATATGGAATGCCGTCTGTACCCTCAAAAAGGGGATCCAGTCACCCTATTTTGTTGAAAAATTACGTATCGTAACCAAAGATTAATTAAAACTAGAAGATCAAAGTCAAGGCCAAAATTCGAATTTGGAATGCCTTTATAAAACACATAGTAATATAAAACATCGTGTGGGGTCCCCCACTGTGCGTAGAAAATCAATATCGTTCAGTTTCGAAGACCGCACCATCTTAGCTCGAAATATAATTACGTTTAAACGTAAACACTTATGCTTCAAGTGTAAGTTCATTCATAAAAATATTATTACGAAGGAAATTAACAAATCGATGACCCGTGACATTAACTCGTGTTTACGTCCCACATTGCTCGAAAACAGAAGAACAAAACACAATCTTGGCAAAATCTTAAATAAACCACGTTGAAATTAAGAACGACGCCAATAAATTAACGATTTATTTATTTGTTATGTTCACGAAAGTTCTGGACGGTTTGATGAACTCTAAACACTTACCTCATTTTGATGTTCGTATCCTTTGTCGAGATCAATCCTTATGCACTATTGCACGGCACGCAACAATTGTTCACTTATAAAATACATATTTTTCACAGACACCAACGTACATTGCACTTATTATCGACTCGTGGAAACGTCTGGCTTCGGGGTGGCCATTTTCGTGTCAAAAAGCACCTTTGGATTCACGTCCCGTTTTTACCCCGATTACGAAAAGCGACGAGCGAGAGGACGCTAGTACTGCGCCGGGACTGAGAGCGAATTAAAAAAATTAGCTCACTCACAGTATAGTCATACGGGGCTACAATGTACAACATACATATGTAATCAAACAATAGCCACGAGCTTATTTCACTACGACAGCTGAAGGCTAAAGTTCTATTGTATACGGTGATACGATCGAATGCATCCCCCCACTAACCAAGCTTAAATTACGGTACAGCGTGTGCTATTCGGCGTGAGTCCGGAAATTAAATTTACATTTTCGTCCCTATTTGGAGCTATTTGGTTGTACTTCCCAATTTAGTCGTATAATAACTGCGCTCGCCGGGGACCAATCACTGTTCGTGGTTCGGTATATTACTTCGGCTTTTCTCTAGATTTTGGCCTGCATTGCCATCTATTGTACGTTATATTAAACCGCAAATTGTCTTAAACTTAATATATAGCAACACTGGCTTGGAAATTTGTTTTTCAGTATTTTTTTATTAGTTTAAAAAATATTCTGTTAACTTAAGATTTTATTTACAATACTATTTTTATCACTTAATCATTAAATTACTCTAGACAATCAAAAATCAGTTTCATTTCAGTGGGTAACAAATCAACGATTTTTGACAATGCGTCACTCAATCTGACAATCTCGAAGTTTTCCGAAGAGTTTGTCCTGTTTTCAATTTGATAAACAGTTCCATTTTCGAAAACATAAAAAGGATGGTGGGCGCGATGCCTGTTAATATAGTACCAAAATTTTACAACGGCACAATCGGTGGTTGTAACGGTATGGAAGATGAAATGCAAGTGTCTATCGGTAGTAGGGTAAAGAGTGGTGATGATTTTGGCACAGTGAAATATATCGGTGAAGTGCAGGGTTACAACGGGATATGGTACGGAGTAGAATGGGATGATGTTGCTAGAGGCAAACATGACGGTTTTGTTGACAACATCCAGTATTTTAAAACTACGAAATCAAATGCTGGCTCTTTTGTTCGTCCTAATAAGATATCACCTCTGAGGACTTGTGCTGATGCCATTCGGAAGTATTACGGTGATCGAGAGGTATGTTTTTTTTCGTAATTTCGTTACTCTAAACATGTCAATACAAGGTCTTACACCCACACAATACCAATTGCAATAATAAACATCTGTTAACAATTTTGCTTTTAAATCTATTTATATGCAGTAATTAGCTTTTACTTTATTTTATACCAACTATTCTACAAAAAAAAAATACTATACTGCATTTATTTCTCACTAGTTGATGGCTGCAATTCCATCATAAGAAAAAAAACTTAATTCCAGACTGTTCTTTACATATATGCCAAATTTCAGCAAGATCCATGCGGCTGTTCTGTTTCTTTAAATAAACATCCATTCATCCATCTAAACATTTGTATTTATAGTATTAGTAATATAGTTCAGATGTTATTTAACTTTATTGTATTGTAAACATAAATTTAACATCACACTCTTAATGCTTGATACTGTACATTATTCCAGGATGAAACCGTAGCCGCACACCGTAGAACTGTAATTAATGAATGGAAAAGAGAAATGGGGGCACCCTTTATTGAAATGGTTGGCTTTGAGAAGATACATCAGAAACAGTGAGTTTATATTTTGCTACTGTTAGGAAGAAAATACGAAAATAAGCCAGTGTATTGACTCAACACTAGCTTTACTGAAAATCAACGTTTATGTCCATTCACTATTCATTCTGACACTGGACTTTGTGACGAAAGCATGTCAATTGCACCAAAAGATTCTAACTAATAATGTCTAAAACAACATAATTTAATTTCGTTCAAATACCAACATTAAGTAACTGAACATAACTTGTAATTTCAAATTTGTATGTAAAGTGCCTGGTGAACAATCAAATTTATTTGTCCTTAAAATGTCTTTTT